GTGCAAGATGACTTGTGACTGTTTTTCCCTTCCTAATCTCTTTTCCTCTTAATTTTTCAAATACCTCTTCTCACTGCAGGGGTGACAATGCCAGCTGTGCCCCCCAGCCTGACCACTGCCAGCACCCCTTTGTACCTTGCAAATCTCCTTCTGGGCTCTGAATATCCAGGGGGAGAATTCTCCAAATATCAGATGGTTCCACAAACCCGTGAGAGTCCTGGTCTCCAAGGGAAGCTTCTCAATGTTGTCCTCCTCCAGGTAGGACTTGCATATCTTATCCCCGGTCAAATGACGGAGGAAGAAGTTGTTTTCTCTGCTAGAGTCCAGCACCACGGGCAGAAATTCCTCCAGGTCGTGCCACAGGTCCAGGAGATGAGTCTCCATGGGCCGGTCCTGGTGCTTCAAGAAGTCTCTGAAGGGTTGTCCCGCACAGGTGTCAGCACTAAGGGCCCAGGGAAGGAGACTCAAAGTCTTGGCCGACCCTTTCAGGGATGGCAGCTGGACAGGAGGTGCAGAGGAAGGCAGGTTAGAGAGGATTCTTTCCTTACAGAGGTCTTCCAGATGATTGACCTGCTCTGCACTAGGTCTTCTTGGAGGAGTTACTCCCCCTTTGCCATTAAAGGCAGCATTTGCAGGATGCTCTGACTGCTGAGGAATTGATCCCAAAGCATCCTTATCTAGATGCGATTCCCTTGTGCTCCTAGCTGACCCTGGCTGCCTTTCTGGTTTCACCCGAAAACGGGGCATCTTCATTTCTTGGGTGCCTCTTCTCTCCTTGACCAGAGCCCAGATCTTTGCTTTGGCCTTCTGGCCGCAGTAGGGCCCTGACGAGCCCTGGCTCCTTTTGATATGCATCGTGGGGGGGGGTCTCCAAAAAGCCTGAGGGCTCCTGCCAGTCAGCCTGTAATAAATGCTCCTGATATTCCTGCAGCAAAGGCTGGCAGGATTCCTCTTCCTCTATTCCCATCTTGCAGTGGGTGAAGAATTTAGGGAGCCAGTAACTCTGGATCGTAAAGAGGACCTGTTCCTGCATCTTTCTTAGGATGTCTCTTCTATTTCTGATGGACTGGATGTGCTTGGCTTTCGGCAGTGATCCTGAAACGGATATGGGGAATTACAGTGGGGAGATGGCTCCAGGTAGACTGTTCCCCAGCCAAATAAAGCGGGTGATGGTATCTCATCTCCCTGGGAGCATCCAGGAAAAACCACCTCCCTGGAAAGGCACTGCTCATCCCCAGCTCCGATGTTTCTTACCAGTGATGGTCGTGCAGAGGGTGATGACACTGGAGCCTTCACGCAGGTGAGAGGCTTTCAGCCTGTGGATCAAGGACAGGTAGAGGTCCCTCTGACTCGTATCTGACTCATCCAGACCCAGGAGCCTTTCGGTGGTGAGCCAGAAGTCGGTCAATTCTTCCCCTGTGGATCAGCCAAGGGTTGGGAGTTGGAGGGAGTCCCTGAAAGCCCCAAGGATGGATGGAGCAGTTTATAATTTTTAAAAAAAGAGAAGGGAAGAACTCCTGGATGAACTGAGGGAACAGAGTAGACAGGAGCCAGGGTTATGCATCTCCCTCCCAGCTCTGCTGCTGGCTCACCTTCCAAAGCTCTCACAGTGTCTCCCGTCCCACTGGTGCTTACCCGTGCCCCCAGCTCTGTGCCAGTGTCCCAGTGGGCAGGTGACCCACGGCTGGCTGAGAAGGAGCTGTGGAGCATCCCGTGCCCACCTGCTGTTCCTTGGACAAAGGCTCGGAAGTGCCGCATGCCCTGGCTCCCGCTGATGCACTTCTCCAGCAGCCACTGGTCAGCACTTTGCCAGTTCAGGAGTTCTGCTGTTGGAGAGATTGCAGAGCATTGCATCAAGGGCTGCATGCAGGAGCGATCCCAAGAAAGCCCTCCAGCCCCCATTGGCACCCCCAGCCTCCCTAGCAGAGGCTGCAGGAGGAGCCAGAAGAGCAGCAAATCACCCTGAACTGGGAGATTCAAACAGGCTGTGGGATGCACATGTGGTGTGTGCCAGGACAACCCCCCCCTGTCCGGGACAGTCTGTCCAGCTATGGTGCCACCTCCCATTGCAAACATCCATCTTTTTTGCTTGAGTTTCGTGCTTGCCCTTAACTTCCTCCAGCTTTGAATTTCAACCTGACTGGAGCAACAGCAGCGACATATTCAAGAAAAGCCTTATTAAATTGCTTATTTTTTTGAAAAGAGAATCTGCTTTCCTGCTGCCATAACTTTCTTTCCAGTGGCAGTTGACATGCAGGCTGACAAAAGACTTGGCTAGACTGAGATGTCTCATTTTAGGGGTAAAGTGAGCAGAATTCAGACTTCTTGCTGCTAAGAGAGACCACGGCCTGTTGTCCCAGAGCACCCTGCACAGCAGCAAACCTGACACATCAGCACCTCAGTTTCCCATGCCCCAGGATGCCCTCCATCCCTGCTCCACCCATGGACTCCATGGCAAACACTGCTAAGCAGCTACTTCAGCTCAACTCCACAGCGAGCCTGTATCAACCCGGGTGGCGGAGCAAAGCCCTGCGCATCCCATGGAAACCCCGGGATCTGCTGCATCCCTAAAAATGGGACGTGCAACGCCTTTTCAACCCGGAGCAGAGGCACGACCCACTGGGCAGGCACCAGGCAGTGACAGCCCTGGAGGGAGGAAGCCCAGCGGTGGCGGCGGCGAAGCCGATCCGATTTCCTCCGTGCCGCGATGACTCACCTGCTTCCCCCGACCGAATGAAACCCAGGAGCTTCTGGCAGAGGACGAGGTGGAGGCACAGGCTGGATTTGCAGAAGTGAGGCAGCCGGTGCTTTTCCAACCAAGCCAGTAAAGCCGTGGGGCTGGGATCCTGCGTTGCAAGCCCCGTGCCCGGGGAGAGGATTAGCTGAGAGCAAGGAGCCGTCTCCTGCCTGGGGATTGGGGTGAGTAACGGGTCTCTGATACAGGGGGAGGAGGTGGGGAAGGCACCCTGTTGCTATACGGCGATGAAAGCCATCCTGGTGCTGACGGAGAAGGGGGATACTCGAGTTACAGCCCCTGCTTGTGTCCCCACGAGCTTTGCCTACGGACCTGGGAGCCCCGGTGCTGCGGGGCTGCCTCCGAGGCTGCCTCTCCTCGCAGCCTGCCTGCCTTCCCAGAGCCCAGGCGGGGAGGCATGGCAGCTTCCCGGCAGCTGTGAGAGCAGCAGGTTCCCTCTTGCTTGCGGGATCTGAGCGCTGCCAGCGGCGCTCGTGGTTGTGGGGAAGGGGGACGCCCGTGGGGAGGGCTGAGTCAGCTTGGTGATCAACAGGGTTTCACTCCTGTTGAATTCAGGAGGACAAGGGGCTGATATTTATGTCCTCCTCCTTTGCCACCCCATACGCTCTCCTTAACTCCAGCTTTCGCTGTTTACCGAGAGCTGGACAGACCCCAGAAGCTGCAGCAGGACTTTAAATGGCTTGTGCTCCTCCCAGGGCTTAAAAGCAAAATGACGCCCGGGTTTGAAATAATCCCCCAGCTGCACGAACAGGAGAGCCAGAGAGGGGCCCTGGCAATGAGAAACCGGGTCCTTCCCTCCCCTGCCCTGCGACCTTTCTCCCTCCTCCTCCCCCTCCTCACAAGGGGCATGTTCTCACCAGGTTGCTCGACAGCCCTGGCCAGAGGTCCCACTGGCCCGTGCCACTGATGTAAATGGGTGTCTGGCCAAAAACCTGTATCAAAACGAAAGTGGAGAGCTGAAAGAGATGGAGGGTGGCAGGGGAGACCAGAGCCCAGCAGTTCTAGTTAGTTCCCACTACAAAGAAGGGCATCCAATTCCCTGTTAGACCTCTGTCTCCCAAGTTGAGATCCTCAGTTTTCCCTCATTTTCCAGCCTGAGTGTGGCACATTCCCAATTCTCCCGGGGTCTCTTAACACCACAGAGGCTGAGAGTTCACCTGAAGAGAGCTCAGAAAGGTCCCGGGCTTTATGGTGCAGAGTGAACTTACGGGAAGATTCAGAAACGTGTTGAAAAAGTCAACAAAAACATCATCTCTCAGCAGAAGCCCCATGTCCGTGGAGGCTATGGCCGCTAGAGGGGGAGAAGAGAAAGTTATCTGGGCTTTGTGTTGCCACACGAGGTGAGCCAAAGGAGGAGTTTTGAGAGGGACAGCTTTAGGGGTATGTGGTGCAACTTGAACTGTGCACACGCAGGAGGATTCGGACAGTCCATGAAATCAGGGTCCCGGTGCACCCACGTGCCCTGGGATGTGTGGCACAGGCTGCTTGGAAAGCACCAGGTTCAGCGGCACGCAGGAGCTGGGAAGTTTGAATGCCAGCTTCCTAAATAGCAAAGGTACACGGTCCATAGAGGCTGGGAGCAAATGTGCTGGCATCCGTAGGGCAGGAGAAGGGACATGCTGTGACTGGAGGGGACAAGCTGTGCTCCTCTGCCTCACCCACGTATAACCCTTCTATCATGGAGAGGAACTGTGTGCTGTGCTCTGGTGCTGCTGCTCCAGCCCCACTGCCTTGGTGCCCTCTGAGTCCTCTTGCTCTGGTTCTTGGAACAAATTCCGCCAAATTAGCAGGCACCACCAGACTGGGGACAGGTTGTGGCTCTGGACAGGGTGTCAGTCACTGCAGCCCCCACTCCATCCACCCAAGACATCAAAGCAAGTGTCAGTTAGTGCCAAACACCTGTGAAGTTTTATTCGTGTCTGAAAGATCTGGGTGCAAGGGGGTGGGCTGGCACAAAATGTCCACTTTTGTGAAGGCACAGCTGTGTTACAGGGAGGGCTCTTATTTCAGAAGCCCAATACTTCTTTTTCCCCTCACTGTCCCCTTTGGGGAGTGTTTAGAGGGCTGAAGCCTCCAGCAAAGGGTAACTCACCAGCAGTCATCATCCTGCTGTGTTCCGGGGGTGTGTTCCAAACTGCCATGCTGATTGTGACACCCTTGCCTGGCACCTTCTTGGTGGAGCTGCAGGGCTCTTGGGAACCCCAGGGCTTTCAGCAGCTCCCTCCTGATTGTACTCCAAGGCCCACTTAGCCTGGTGAGGAAAAGACTGAGTGAGGATCTTATCAATGCCTGTATGTGCCTGAAGGAAGGATGTCAAGAGGATGGAGCCAGGCTTTTCTCAGTGGTGCTGAGCAATAGGGTGAGTAATAACTGGAACACAGGAAGTCCCACCTGAATGTTAGGAGAAACTTCTTTACTGTGATGGTGAGTGAGCACTGGAACAGGTTGTCCAGAGAGGTTATGGAGTCTCCCTCACTGGAGATATTCAAGAACCATCTGGACTCAGTCCTGTACTGTGCTCTAGGGGATCCTGTTTGAGCAGAGAGGTTGGACAAGAAGACCTCTGGTGGTCCCTTCTGTGATTTCTGTGTTTACCCGTTCTGTGATTCTTTGAAATGTCACTTTTTTAATGGCCAGCCCTGAAAACACACCTGGGCAGTCCTGAAATGAAACCCTTTCCCTCTCTCCGCTTGGGCAAACTTCTTGCCTTCAAACCAGGTCCTTGGCAGCACCTTGGTGCTGTGTGTGGTTGCTGTCAGCACATCTGCTTAGGTCATGATGAAATTTCATAGGAGACTCCACTATGCCTGCCCTGGACAGACCAAGTTGTCTTGCTTCGTCAGGTCTGGGACTGAGGCACAACCTTGGAGACCCTCCAGTGGGAAGAGGGGAAAGAAAGAAAGAAGGAACTCCTCTTAGAGCAGCAGCGACCAGTTTCCCTTCCAGGAGGAGGGATCTGCTCCCCAGGTGTGTATTTGATCCTGCTGTCTGTAATGCCATGGTGTCAGGCCTGGCAGGGCTGCCACTGCCCTCCAGGTTTTGGGCATTGTCGTGCCTGGGGTCTCTGATGCACCCTGTAGCAGAAGTGTGCTGGTCTGTGGCTCTGCACTGTCAGTGGGAGTGGGAAGGGTTCTGTTCCTGTGGAGTGTGTGGAGGAGAGTTTTTGTGACCTCTCCCGCACTGTGGGATAGATTCTGCCAACATTACATCCCTAGAACGTCCTGAGCTTTCTTGCTCCGGCCACTGACACAACACAGTTGTGTTATGTTGAGCATCATGTCCCATTCTGTCGCTGTGGCTGCAGTCCCTGTTACTGTCACCTCCATGCACATAAGGGTGTGCAGCAGCCCTGGAATCGCCTCTGTGCAGAGGAGGGTACCTGCGGTGGGCACAGGCAGCGCTGGGGCAGGACAGTGTCCCACAGTGACCCCAGGAGCGGGGCCACCTCACGAGGTGGCGCTGTCAAATCAGGAATGTGAAGCTGTTCCCAGCAGCAACAGGGCTCTGCATTCTCAGCATCGGGCTTGTGACTCCACAGTGGCAGTTAGTACAGGGACAACTCCAAATTAATTGTGGGGCTGGTGCTGGGTACCCCAATGGGACAGTCCTGGGTCTCTGGCACTGGCACACTCTGTCACCCCAAGCAGGGGAGCTCGTTTCTTTGTGCATGGCTGGGCTGCCCTGTGCGAGGAGGACAACTGGTGCTGTAACAAGCCAGGAGGGACACGACAGAGATTTGTGAAAGTGTGTCAGAGATCACACCTGAACTGCCCATGCACACACATGTGCCCTGGGAGGGTCACGTCCTGTCATGCTGCATTAGTTCACAGAATTCTAGAATGATTTGGGTTGGAAGGTTTCACTGACCCAGCCTGGCCTTGAACACTTCCAGGGATGGGGCAGCCACAGCTTCTCTGGGCAAACTGCTTCACAACCCTCAGAGTGAAGAATTTCTTCCTCAGATCTAATCTAACCCTGCGGTGTTTCAGTTTGAAGCCATTTCTCCTTGTCCTGTCACTCCACGGTTGAAACTGTTGGGTTGAACAGCAGTGGGTGGTTGTGCTCGTCCCCGTGGTGCTCCTGGGATGCACATTGTCCTGGTGACAATGAGGAGATGTTGCCCTTTGGGTGATGCTTTCTTTTTGGGGTGTGTGGACTTGTGACCTGCTGCAGGATGGCTTGGCAGTGCCTGTTCTGTGCCAGCTGCAGGGATGGCTCTGGGATGGGGCCAAGCACAGCCCCTTGGGATGCACACTCACCTTCCCTTGGTCGCAGCCTGGGCACACTGGCTGGTCACTATGCCAAAAAACAAATTGATATGGGAAGGGAGCAGCCATGGGCCACAAAACATCTGCTTGTCCTAGTGGTGCCAGGCAGAGCTATGGGAAGGAGTAGCTCTGATCATGAATTCATAAGGATTTGTGCTGTTAAGCCCAAAAGATAAGAGGAGGGGTTAGGGAGGAGCTGGAGTAGTGGCTGCCTCACACATGAAAAACTCGTAAGTACTCAGGGAAAGGTTGAAATTAAAAATATATATTTTCCGCTTGGCAACTGACCAGTGGGCCAGTGAGATCCTCAGAGGCTGGTGTAGCTCCTTGGGTGCTCATCTGGCTCTGGACTGACCTCAGTGGGACTGTGATGGCTTCTGCCAGGAAAGGACCAAGGACTGTGAGCAAAAACAGGCCAACGTGGTTACTGTGGGAGGGTGCAAGGCAATTTCCATGGGATTTCTCCCCAAGAGGAGACCCCAAGAGGTCTGGCAGGATGGAGCTCTGTTCAGCCTGGCTGCAGCTTCCTGGGATTTGCTCAGTGCATGCACGGGCACATCTGCCCTGTTCATCTCCTCACAAAAGGAGCTGACGCGAGCTGTGTGGCTATTTACAAAAAAACCAAAAAAGGGTAAAAAGAGGCTTAAAAAAAAATAGGTGGACACATGAGCACAGCCCAGATTTAGAAGGGGGCTTGGAGAGGAGCGCAGAGTGGTCAGACTCCATACAAAGATAAGGGCAGGGTTGCAACACCAAAGACGTCAGGAGCTCTGCCCAAACCCGAATTATCCACGTCCTCTGTCCTGGTGTGGTAAGCAGCCCACCCTTGGCAGACGTAAGGCCGCCAGTGGCAGAGGCTCACGTTCCTGGGTCAGCAGAGGGGATGGGGCTGGGTTTTTTTATCCTTGCCCAACATCAGCTGTCACAGCTTCCTGTGGTGGCAAAGTCCAAGGCTGCCCGACCGGGGGGTCAGCATCACCACCTGCAGTCACTGGCCACTCACAGCCTCCCCCAGCAGCCCAGCCTGTCCCTTTTGGTGCCACAGGGAGGGTGGGGGCTGTTTCCCTGCCAGATGTAGTCAGTACCCAACCCTGAACACCTCGGCATTGCTTCTGGTCTTAGGTCTAGATGGTCTAGAGCCCTGGTAATCTGGAAAACTCCAGCCTGAGTGCACAAACCTGCTCTTCCTCTAGCATAAGTACTATATCCCCAGAGTGAGATTTTGGAGGGAAATTTGGGGGTTTTTTTGCCCCTGTACAGCCCCATCCTGTTCTCATATAAATAGTTTAGGATACCTCAAAGACTGCCACCAATGGGTGTGACCCTTTAAAGCCCATAGCACCTTAAAACTGGAGTTGCCCAAGGTCTCAGGTCTGCTAACTCAGCTTTAAATATTAACTGCTTTCTTGAATATACTATGATTATTAGTTTATATACATGATTTTCACGCTTGGTCTCCTGGGTGCATAAAACCTGTTTGCTCAGCAAGGACATCATTGGTATTTCCTTACATTAATTACAAGTATTTTTGAGCTTGTTGCCATTTGTCTGTGGTTTCCTTGCTTGGGATTGAACATAAAGGCTGGGCTCTGTCCCTTACACCTGGCAGCCCCTGCAGCAAGCTCTGCCTTCACTTGCCTCTTCTCCAGCTGAAGCAAAATCACTGGTGTAACCTTATACAAGCATCTGGGGCTGCTGACTTCATCAGCCTGGGTTAAGCATGTGTTGTGGCAGGACAGGGACCTAATTCAGCCACAAGGGAGGGATATGGACAACGGCACTTTGCTGTTACCTTTTATAATTTACAGTGTCAGGCCTGGATTCACCGTTTAATCCACTTAGGTAGCACTTTGAGGATTTCTCTACTCTCACTTATGGAGCTGCAAGGTGTATTAGGCTGAAATTAATCTGCCAGCCACAGCTAACGCAGCTCCAACCTAGCTGGGGGTGCATTTAACAGTGTGAACAGTGCTAATAAAAAAAAAGTGAAAAAAAACCCCAACAAAAACAACTCTGCCTATGCACACTGTGACCAATTTCCAACTGCGGGGAAAGGCATGTGCTGAGCGCTCCCTGGGATATTCTCCACCCTTGTACAGAACAAACCGAGCCAAGCAATTTCTAGGTCTCAAATCCCGCCTGCCCCTGACGTTCTCATCTTCCAGCTTCCCCTGGTCGCTGTTGAGGGCGAGCACGTGCTCCCAGAAGACGCTCAGCCCCTGCACAAGGTCTGAGGAGCAGAGCCGGTGGCAGGTAGGTGCTGCCTGCCAGGATTGCTGCCGGATTGTCCCGGAGCGGGCGGCAGCAGTGCCCCCCTCCTTGAAGAAGGGGGGTGCTGGGGAATGAAGCAATGCCCTGGTTTCCTGTGAGGTGTGGCAAGGTGGGCAGTGGGCACGGGGACTGGCACCCAGGTGGCTGAGAAGGGGGTGCAGAGGGAGGTGTGAGCATCTGGGGGGGTTTAAGCAAGGCTTTTTCAGGTGCTCTGTCCCCAGGAACCTACAAGCGTCACGGGCACATGGTGCAGGCAAGCTGCATGGGGGAGGGAACTTTTTTTTTTGACTTGGCATGTGCCTCTGCACGTTTTATTAATCTGCTTTCCTAAACTGCCCTTCTGTGCAGCCCAGGTGATCTCCTCTGCCGCTGAAATCCCTCTGGTCACCAGCCCGTGGCTACCCTTGACCCTGGCAGCATCTTCAAAGGGAGCATGGGCCTGCTGCGGGGTGTGCAATGTTTGCTCACGCACAGGGCCAGCAGCTACAGCCCCCCTGCCTTGGGGGGTTTCGTCAGCCTCCTGCAGCGCTCCGGGGGAGACCGGTCGGCCACTGCTGCTTGCACAAGGTCAGTCCCCCCAGTGCACTCATTCCCCCCTGGTGAGCTCCCTGTCCTCAGTCAGTGACTGCTGGGCCACTCTGAGCTGGGCAACTACTGAATTAGGCGCTTGCTCAGGTGTCAGGTTTATTTTTCCAGCCCTTGTGTTGCTAGTCCTGGGTAAAAGGGGCTGCATCTCCGACTCCCCCAGCTGTGAGCCCCTCCAGAGCCCAGGGCCCAGTGATGGTGGTGGGCGCATTGTCGTGGGTCCAAGCAGAGGCAGCTGTGCCCAGTGGTGGGCAGAGATGGAGGTGATGCAGCATCAGGCCACCCAGCCAACGTCTGGTCTCACTTGGATGCATTTCAGTTCTTTATGCAAGGCCTCACAGCCCAAAACACCTCCCTGGATGGGTCTGGAAGTGGTATAGCTGATTTTGGGAATGTCTCAGCCATTGGGCATAGGGAGTGGAGAGATACTGAAGATGTCCCTGCTCATTGCAGGGGGATGGACTAGATTACCTTTAGGTCCCTTCCAATACAAACCATCCTGCTCATCCCTCCCAGCTGTGCCATTGCTGGAAGCTGGGGCATTTTGGGTGCATCAGGCCTCCTGCTGGGATCCAACCATCACAACAAAATGGGCTGTCACATCACAATTCCTGTCCCTGTGTGACATCTCTGTTTAAAGAGAAAAAAAAAGGCATTCCTTTCTATTTAAGAATTTTTTTTTAGTGCTGGTGAAAGACAAATGGGTACCTGGGCTTAGGAGTCTGGGTCTACAACCTGCTGGGGTTGAGATACCAGGATCTGTGGTGAGGGGCCACCCATGGAGATGGCCCCAAGCGCTGGGAAAAAGTCCCAGCACTCCAGGAACAAAGCCATCAGCCACCTGCCCCAGGGCCAGAGATACAGGGACATTTCATGTGCTACCTTTTTAACCCTCAAATTATCACCCCTCTCTCTTTTTTCCTTCCTATGGTGTGACATTTCTGCATTTTAAGGCATTCCCAAATTTATGAGGCTGCACTTTCTGGAGGTCCCTGCAACCAGGCCTGTTTGCTAAGAGCAAATTGTTCAGGGCAGCTGGGGAGGACATGAGGATAGGGATAGAGTGGGACACGTGGACAAAGGACGGATCACAGCAGCCCCACCAGTGGAGAGGGAAGACATGATCCTTTACTGCTTGGCTGCTGGCTGGAGTTGGAAAAGAGCAGGCATGTCTCATGCTACCTGTGAGAAACTCATCCTGGTCCCCAAACCTATCCCACAGAGCGCAGGGTCCTGGTCCTGAGGGTTTGCACAGCTGCCTTGGAGGCAGGAGGCTGCAAAGTCCAGCCTGCCTGGCCCTCCCAGCAGCTCACCAGCCACTTTCCAACCTTGGCACTTCTCTCAGGATATAAACCACGCCGGCGGGAAGTGCTGGGGCAGGAGAATAAAGGTGTTCCCGTGAATTAATAGGAGGAAGAAAGAAAAACATGTGCCAGTTGGGACTCGCCCCTAGAGCAGGACATTGTCTCCGGCTATGCCTGTGGAGCGGGGCCCTTTGAAGGCGGATTTAAATCCACTCGTGGGACGTGTCACCTGTTGGCATCGTGCCTTCCCCAGCTCCCCGAGGAGGTTTTTGTCAGCGGCAATGAGGGTCACTGGAGCACGCAGCTGGGCGAAGGCACAGCCTGAGCCGGCTTTCCCAAAAAAAACACACAGGCTGGAAGGGGAGGAGGGGAAGGAAGGCTGGCGGTAAACAAGCTGGGTGAGCCCTGCGAGGCGGCCCGGGAACGCTCCCCCCTCCCTCCCCCGCCCCGTCGGCTTCCCGGGAGAGGGCGCTGAGCCCGCGGCTGCCGCTTCTCCCCTGGCTCGTAAACATGTTGTGCAGGGCGAGGGCAGGGGCTCGGGCATGAGCCACCCACCCCAAGCCCGCCGGGGCCGGGAGCTGCATCCTCCCACCCTTGCCCACCCTGGGGGTCTCTCCCGGGCCGGGGTTTGCTGCTCGGCATGGATTTATGGGACGGAGAGGAGATGTTTACTTTGCAAGCTGCCTTTGCTCCCCGCTTCCCTTCGGGGTTGTTTGGAGCTGCCCAGCCCCGAGGTTTGGGCGGCAGGAGGTGACCCCACTCTGAAGGAACTTCCACCTGTAGACACTTGGGCTGGTTTGCAGCCAGCTCTGGCGGACAAAGTTACAGGGAAATTAGCAGGTAGCAAACATATTTCCAAGAATTTGGAAACTGTCAGAGCTCTCAGTGTCCCGATTAAAGAAACACTCTGCAAACCTAGGGAAGAGGGCTGGACGCTGCTTTACGTTTCCCGTGGCTTGACAGCTCCCCATTATGGGAGCTATTTTGGGCCTCGGCAGCAGCTCCTATCTACTTCCTTTTGCTTCAGCTGAGCTGTTACATTTGGGTGACCACAGCTGAACTTGGGCAGAACGTCAGATCCTGAGCTCATTTCGGTGGGTAAAACACTGCGTTTGTTTATGTATTAAAAAAATTTCTCTACGCACAGGGTACAGGAACTGAGGTGTTGAGAGGAGGCAGTTTCTGGGGTGCTGAGGGGAGGCAGTGGCTGTTGCAATGGTTGGTGGCTCTGTCTTGCCCAAGCAATTCCAGGAGGAGAAAAGTACCTGATTTTCACCTCTGTTCTGGACAGCCTCGGGGGATTACCACACACTGATGGCTGCTGCGAGGTGGTGGTGAGGAATGAGCCGGGTTGTCACCAGAGGCAGGGTGGGGATCTGGCTCTCGAGATGGGCAATAAATCAAGGCTCCATTTTAGCCAGCACTTCTACCTCCTCCCCCCTGAGGATCCGGCTCTCCCTGGCCATTTTCCCTGTGGATTGTGGATGTACTGTGCCTGTGTCTGCGGTAGGGCGGCTGTTGATGGTCAGGAGGCTCCAGCTTCTCGAGGAATAGCAGTTTGGTGCCATGTCCCCGAGGCTGGCATGGGGCAGCCCAGGAGCCTGTCGCCCCGGGGCAGGCGTGTGGGTGGCGTGTGCTTGGCCTGGGACCTGCGTGTGCGCGCAGCGGGTGGACACGGGTGGCAGCTCCGTCTGCTCGTGCTGGCGTTGCTCTCCTGCCCCTTGGATCCGGGCAGGGAGGTGCAGAGGGCTGGACAGGAGATGGGACAACAAGCGAGCTGTCGGGGTGGAAAAATACTGGGCAGTGCCTGCAGTTTGCTGGGTGCTAAGTGGGTGCTCCTGTGGTGGGCCTGGGGGATTTCTCCTCCCTCGAGTGACAGTGACCGGTCCTTGTGCTTTGGAGTGAGGGTCTGCAAATCCAGGTGCTGGAATCTGTCACCTGCTCCAGGAGGAAAAGCGGGGCATTGAGGCTGTTTTCCCTCTCCCAAACGTGGTCACCGAGCCAGAGCCTGTGCCCCGGGCTCGGCGGGGCTCCGGTCCCTCCTTCTCTCCCCCCGTTTACCCAGGGCGGCCGGTTTCCATCCCTGCGAGTTATGCCAAGGCAGCCGCTAATGTAAACCCTGCGGAAAGCCCTGGCTCCGCTCCCGCCTGCCCAGGGACCAGGGGTTGTTTTTCTGGGCGGCTAAAAGGACTTAAACCACCCCCACGACCCCCCTCCCCCTGCATTCTGCCCCCTCTTCCCTCTGCTTTGCGCACCCACCCACCGCCTCCACGGGGTGCGGGGCGAGGCGGGGGTGCTCCCCCTCTTCCCCGGGGGAGGCCGGGCCGCGGTGCCGCCGGAGGAGGAGGAGGGAGGCGGGGTGGTGTCCCGGTCCCCCCTCCCGTGTCCCCCCCGTCCCGCCCTGCTGCCCAATCCGTGCGGCGGGGCCGGCGCTGCTCCGCCATAAAGGGGCGGCGGGCGCGGCCCCGGGAGCCGAGCGTGGGAGCCCCGCGCCCGCCCGCACCGCCGCCGAGCCCAGGTACCGGCCCGGGGGAGGGAGCGAGGGAGGGGGTCCCACTGGCCGCCACCCGCCGCAGCCCCCCGGGGACACGAGGGCAGGGGGGGCAGCCCCGGGGCTCCCCAGCGGCCAGACGTTCCAGGGGAAAATGCCTCCTTTGGGGGAAGAGGGGGGTGAGGTGTGGGGGGGGAGGAAGTGGCAGCTCGAGTTTTCTGTTGAAAACATTCGCTTTGCAGTTTTTTGGTTTGGGTTTTTTCTTTCCCCCCTCCACGAGGCTCTTCAGCTGGTCGCTGAAGAAACGTGGGGACATCCCTCCCTGCCAGGAGATGCGCGCGTGGGTGATGCTTCTGGCAGGGGAATGGGACGGTGGGAGCTCCCGCGGGGAGCGGGTCGGCTGGGGAGGGCTCAATCCGAGCCCCCCTTCAGGGGAACAGGATGTTGGAGCGACTTTCCAAGTCACTCCACATTTCCAAACTCAGCATTTCCAAGCTCCTGAAAACACGCGTGGAGCCCGAAGGCTGTGGGTCTGACACGAGTGGGCTGGCTGGCAGGCTCCAGGATGTGCTGATCTGTGGGGATGCTGCAGCTCCCACGGACTGAGACCAGAGCCCCTCAGGCCTTCCTATCAATGCCTGGGGTGCTCAGGGCTTGTTTGTACTGCCTGTTGCTTCTCCTCCTGCCTTGGGGCCAGGTTTGGATAACCTCAGCTGGGCTGAGAAGGCAGCTGGGGTGTCCCAGCCCTCCTCGATGAGGCAGGTTTAGTAAGAAAGCCCCAGCTAAGCTTTCCTTGTATTAGCCTTGCTCAGGAGCAGTGATGAGTGTGGAGGTGAAAAGTTCATTCAGGGCTGAGGAGCACTTTGGAAGTCTGTTGCACAGTGGATGAGACCTAGTTTATTGGCAGGAGTTTGGGTTTAATGGGACTCTTTGAAGGGATCACTGCTCCTGGAGCAGGGCTTTCCTGGCTGCTGGCATCTGCCTGAGCTGCTGTGTGTTCTCCCTGAGGAATGACATGCAACCGCTGGCGATGGCAGCCAGCCCTGTGGCCGAGCTGTCTCGTGCTCCTCCCCGGTTGAGGGGGGTGAAAAATGTGGGAGCGCAGGAAGGGCTCACAGTTAGGGTTGGTTTTGATTCCTCCCTGCAGGAACCCCCTCGTCAGGACTGCAGCCATGGCCACCTCGGCGAGCTCCCACCTGAGCAAAGCCATCAAGCACATGTACATGAAGCTGCCGCAGGGGGAGAAGGTCCAAGCCATGTACATCTGGATCGACGGGACAGGGGAGCACCTCCGCTGCAAAACCCGCACACTGGACCACGAGCCCAAGAGCCTTGAAGGTGAGAGGGCAGGTGCAGGACTCGCAGCCCCTCACCAGGTGGAGAAAGGATGCCATTTCTCTCTTTCTGTGGCAGAAGGGTAGTTTTTAGGGAAGACGTTCCTCCTCACCCCCTTCTGGTTACCTCTTTGCCCAGATACCCCAGGGGAATGTTCCCAGCTCTCCAGATGTGGAGTTTTCAGTTGGATGCCTGGGGGCTGGGAGCCCGTCCTTGGTGCTGTGGATGGGGCTTTTGGCAAGGGCTGGGGGCTGTTGGCAGGGGCTCGGTGGCCCATTGACTCCCGAGTACTCGTTTTGGCCGGAAGTAGTTTGGCAGAAGAAAGTGGAGGGGAAAGAATGGAGCTATCCGGTGTAATTAAGAGCTTGTGTCCCTCAGAACAAACAGTCCCAGCTTACACAATAATAGCATTAGGATTTTCCCCAGGTTGCCATGGTGCTGGCTGGAGACAGTTATGAAATGAAAATACTGTGTGTGACTGAGCAGAATTATCTTTTTTCTTTTTCTATTTTTTTTTCCCCCTCTCCTTTACCCTTTTCCCTCTAAGGGAGTGGTTGGCACAACTCCTTTGAAATCATTGTGTTTCCCATCCTCCTGCTTTTCCCCTGGGATATGGAGGAGATAACATTGCCTCGGGTGGAGTTCACTGCTTCTCCCACTGTGCTTTGACCTGGAGGGCAGTGCACAGCCCAGAGGGGTGGGCGAGGGGCCACACTGGCCATACTCCCCCCATGAGATTCCACCCATATGTGATTTGTTTTCCCACCTTCTTCAGGCCATGTAACATGGATAAGGGTATTCCACGGCTCCCCTCATTCCCGTAGCTTGAAGATGTCTCGTGCTCTGCCATCCCCCAGCTTGCCCAGCTGAGGAGACGGTGTTCTGCTCATCCCTTTGGTTGTTGTGACATGGGAAATGTCCTCAGTGCTGCTCAGTTCGCTCGGTCTTGGCCAGCAGCCCAGCAACTTGTTATTTCCCAGGGTGGCTGAGGAGTTGTACTCTTCTGGTTTTGCTTATTTTGGTTTTTTTTTTTTTTGCTTCCTCCATTTGGAACAGAATCAGCTGAGTTGGGATTAAACCCATTGTAGGCCTGTTCTCTATAAGCATCTTCACCTCTGTCTTACTGGAAGGCGGCAGGGAGCTCATCCTCTGGTGTCCAGGGACCCTGGGTCAGTGTGGCTTGTTCCTCTCTCCACTCCAGATCTGCCTGAGTGGAATTTTGATGGCTCCAGTACCTACCAGTCTGAAGGCTCCAACAGCGACATGTACCTGCGACCTGCTGCCATGTTTCGGGACCCGTTTCGCAAGGATCCCAATAAACTAGTTCTCTGTGAGGTCTTCAAATACAACCGCCAGTGTGCAGGTGAATGGACGTTCTCCCTTCTCCTGGTGGAGGTGGTATTTCTGGGGAGGGGAAAGGAAGACCTGTCCAAATGCTGTCTGTGCCCTTATCATCACCCATGACACAAAAATAATCTGTGCCCTGACAATAAAGGGCAAAAAAAGTGCTGGTAGTGGAGAAAGGGCTGGGATTCTTCACTACTTTTGCTGGGACTCAAACTGTAAATGAAGTGGGAATGGGGAATGGAGGTGGAGGTGCTACTAAGCCTTGTGTCGCTTTTCCATTCTAGACTCAAATCTCCGACACACCTGCAGGAAGATTATGGACATGGTGTCCAACCAGAACCCCTGGTTTGGCATGGAGCAAGAGTACACTCTCCTTGGGACAGACGGACATCCATTTGGCTGGCCTTCCAACGGCTTCCCTGGACCCCAAGGTAACCTTTCGGGAGTCTGCACTGGACCAGATCAGGAGCGTTCGAACTGTAATCCCCGTGACACAGCTTCAGCTGAAAGATTGGAGGTGTTTCTAGAACCAGCAAGTGGCATGTTGGGAAAAATTAACCACAAGGTTAAGATCATTACAGAAAGGCTGAGGTGGGGATTGGCCACATCCAAATTTGCTGCTTGGTTTGTTAGTCTGCAGGGGACTTAAACCCGTGGGGGACTTGCTCTCTGTCAGTGTTCTACTCTGCTAGTTCTTCCATGAAAAACAGATTTTGGGGCTTTTCCGCACACCCCAAGCCTTTGGAGAGTTCTTTGCTGTGCGTGCTCGGTCTTCACTGAGTTTAAGCGATTTCCTTGTGGAAGCTGATGTTCACCTGTGCTGTTGCAGGTCCGTACTACTGCGGTGTAGGGGCAGACAAAGCCTATGGCAGAGACATTGTGGAGGCCCACTACCGAGCGTGCCTTTATGCTGGTGTGAAAATTGGAGGAACCAACGCAGAAGTGATGCCAGCCCAGGTAAATCATTTCAGATGCCTCATGGAACGAGACAGTAGTACAGAAAAATCTCAGGCAGAGGGAAACTGTGGCTGCCTGCACTGAGTTGTGTAGTTGTGTCACGGATCAGGGAGTGGGAGGTGCCTCACGGTGAGATAGTCTCCCACACCACTGAGCCTGTGACTCCTCCTCCTTGCAGTGGGAGTTCCAGGTGGGACCATGCGAAGGGATTGAGATGGGGGATCACCTCTGGATCGCACGCTTCATCCTGCACCGGGTGTGTGAAGACTTCGGTGTCGTCGTGTCCTTCGATCCCAAACCCATCCCTGGGAACTGGAACGGTGCTGGCTGTCACACCAACTTCAGCACCAAGAGCATGAGGGAAGAAGGAGGTCTCAAGTAAGTGTTCTGAGATGGGCCAGCGGCATCCGTGTACTGGGCAGCAAGATTTTGCAAAACTTTTGCCAACACAGGAGATGTTGCTCTAGTGTTGGATGTTAACGCTTAAGGCTTTCTTCCAGATGATTTTTTTTTTTGCTTGGTTGTTTTTTGTGTTTTGGGGTTTTTTTTAATACATATTTTGTATAACGCTACACTCTCATCTTGATGCTGGGTGGGCAGTTCAGCCAGCAGTACAGCTCCATCAGTGCTGACAAGCACAAGTGGCCAGGCTGCAACTGTTCCTAAAAGCCTGTCTGGCTCTTCATCTGCCAATGCTGGAAACAAAGAAACTCAGCCTTTTTTAAATTATTATCTTTTAATAATTTATTTTTTTTATAACTATAAGAGAAGGACCAATTTGCTTCTGTCTAGGCAAGGCTGTGGAAACAGATGCCATGTTTTCTTAAAGATGAAGATCTTGGAAATGTAAACCCTGAGTTCTTGTATGGGGCTGGTGTGCTGAGTGCAGTCGGGGGCCCTATGGCACTGGGTTGCAGTGGAGCTCTGTGGAGGGATTCCTCCTGGCAGCCCTGTTTTCTTGCCTTAATTTTGGTGATGCCCAGAGATAAAGAGCCAACTCGTACCTGTGTGAGCTTCACAAATAGAAACTTCAGTATTGAGAAATCCCCCCTCTGAGAGCAGGTTCCCCAGTGGCAGAGTGCCTGGGAGGTTTGGCTGTGGGTTGAACTGGTGGTGTCTCACAGACAGCACTCCCAAGGGATCCTGTGGGATTTGGCAACGAAGATCCTTTTCCAAGAAGCAGCTTGAGTCAGCAGTAGGAGTGGAGAGAAGCCCCATGTTGGGATGATCAGCAAAGGGGGTTGTGGGGCATAAGGCATCATCATGAAGTGGCTTGGGGACAGCAGTGAATCTTGTGTCGCTTCGACACAACAGCCCGGAGTGGCTCAGCTTGTCCTGTCCCTCAGACACTCACTGCGCATTCCCCTCTCCCTCCCTCCCTCCACAGGCACATCGAAGAGGCCATTGAGAAGCTGAGCAAGCGCCACCAGTACCACATCCGTGCCTATGACCCCAAGGGGGGGCTGGACAATGCCAGGCGCCTGACGGGTTTCCACGAGACATCCAACATCAACGAGTTCTCCGCTGGCGTGGCCAACCGCGGCGCCAGCATCCGCATCCCCAGGAAAGTGGGCCACGACAAGATGGGCTACTTTGAGGACCGCCGGCCCTCGGCCAACTGCGATCCCTACGCTGTGACAGAGGCCCTCGTCCGCACGTGTCTCCTCAACGAAACCGGGGACGAGCCTTTTGAGTACAAGAACTAAGCAGACTGCGCCCACAGACACCGCCTTCCCCCCGCTCTTCCCGCACCCCTAAACTTCCCTTCTAGATGTAATCCCAAGGGTACAAGATAACATGTTCTGTGTTTCAGTAACTCTTGTTGTCTTGAGGTGGGGGAGGAGGGCAAATTTAGTTTTATCGATGTCTGTTTGTCGTTGACTCCTCGGAAGGCGAGAGGAGGAGGAGAGGATGTTAGAGAACTTTTAACCACTGTTTTATTTTTTGTCTAATTCATGTGTACATCTGATGGGATCCAGTGGCTTCCAGGGACAGACTGCACACGCAGAAAGCCAGTAGGAAGAGTGGAGAGCTTAAAACTACAGCTGACTTCCCCGAGAGTCAGATGTGGGGTGTCAGCCCCGCTGCTGGCTCTCTGCAGACTAATGGTTCTCTAAGGTTGGTGCCCTTCTGCAGAGAAGGGAAGATGGGAGCTGTGATGGAGCCCCATGTGCTCCTGCCTGTATGGGGAGATGATGAGGAGATCATCACCTTCTGGCCACTTGGAGGTTTCTGGGAATCTTCTGGCATTGAGCTCAGCGTAGGAGCGTTGAGGAGAACTCCTGGTTCTGTCACTGGAAGTCAACCGATCTCTGGCTCATAACACAGAGTGAAGTAGTACTTTTCTATTTAAATATAAAAACAGCAAAAAAAAATTATATATGGAAGTGTTTTTTTCTTAAAAGAGATGACGTTCCAATGCCTCATCCAGCTGGAGCAGGCAGAGCTCTTGCCGGATGCTGTCGGAGAGCCTCCAGGTGGGACTTGAGGGTGAGCTTGGAGGGCTTGGTGGAGGAGACTTGGATGAGATTTGTTCCAGCGTGGAGTGGAGTTTGCAGGAGGCGGCTCCCGGAGCCGGTGGCCTGCAGAAGCATCACTGTAACTCGAGTGGCCACGATGCACTAACGAGTGTGTAGCTCAACAGGAGGAAGGTGTCCTGAACTAGGAGTTGACCGGTCAACTTCCCCGCCTTCCGGACAGAGCTGTGGGTGTGTTACCTTTCCAGCAGGGCTAGCATGTCACTAAAGCAGGGCTTTTGATAAAGGAAAAAAAAAAAAAAAAGAAGTTTTAGATATTTTTTTTTTCATAATGTTCTTAGTTTCTCAAACTGACTGGTTTTACAGAGACCGTTGATGCCACTGTTGTGTCCTGGCTCTCGGGCTGCCTGCCATCCAGCCGTGATGGGGGCTGGGAGAAAGGAGAGGCCACTTGTCCCCTCCCAGTCAGCCCTGGCACCCCCAGCTCGTTGTGGGGGGGTTCAAACGTTCCGGGATTTTACACTTGGGTATATTAGATGGTGCCAGTTATATTCCGTTGCATTTGGACTTCTTCCGAATAGTTCTGTTTTTTTAATAATAAAAAAAGAAAAAAAGAACAAAACCTTAACTCCGACTTCTGCAGCTTCTTTTTGTACGTGTGTTGCCTTCGCCATTTGAAGGGAGTTTGACTCTCAGAGTGTATAGATGGGGCTTTTCATTGTTGGGGTGTTTTTTGGGGAGACAGGGGTCTTCATGTGTGCTCTCAAGAAAATGGGGGTTTGTCAGTGGTGATTGGTTCTCCAGAGAGTGATGGTCCAGATGTGACTTGAGTGGGGTTCCTTTGGGAAGGGAAAAGACCTGGGTTTCTGAGTGTCCATAGAGAGAGTTATGGGGTCACTACAGGTGTTTTTGCATCTCCCCCACCTCCTCCCTTACAAGTTCTACAGGATATAGAAATCCTACAGAAAATAAAGTTCCAGCAAACTTCATTTTTAAAGGGGGCTTTGTGGAAGAAGACCCTTTTCCACTCTCCCTATTGAGAAAATGCTGTTCATGTGCCTTTGGCATAAAACCAGTCACTGAGAAAAGTAACCAAGGTAGTAGAAATGTGTCACTTTGCTCCTGTGGTCTTTTATTTAGCTTGTGATGCTGTTCCCCAGCTCCCTGGGAGGTACTTCCCACAAGGGTGGATGCTTTAACCATTCCCATCTTTAAATGTGGATTAACCACACCAGAGCATCCTGCTGGGCTGATGAGGCCATTCCTGCTATTGTGTTTTCCTGGACCAACTGTTCTTTTGCATGGGGAACATTCAAGGCAGCACCTTCCTCACCACAGTCCCAAAATGACCCTATCCCTGTGCCTGTGTGGGGTGGAGTGTGACCAGAACAGAAGCAAAGTGAACACCATGTCCTTTCCTCCCATCGTGACATGGCCACGAGGATTTTGGATCTGGGGTGCTGCAGCCAAAAGAAACCCATGGGATAAATCATGAGCACAGAAATGTTGAGGTTTTGTGCTGATTTGGGCAAAGGGGCCAGGCAGCTACTGTTCTTCCTGCCTTCCAAGAAAATGTTACAGAGGAAAAGCTGAATTAAGGAAACTTTTGTAAAGGCATTTGTGCAGAAGGAGGGACAAGACACTGTAATGCTTTTTTTTTTTTTGTTATTCCTATACTTCCAAACACTGTGAATCCTTGAGGCTGGATCCCTGTCCCTCCAGAGACCCTGGGGAATGAAAAAATTGGTAAAAGGGGGCATGGCTCAGTTTTGGCCATTAAGCATCACCAAGGCAGTTGCTGATGGGCAGCCAGGTTTTGTCATGGAATCATGGAAAGGTTTGGGTTGGGAGAGACCTTAAAGATCATCTCATTCCAAACCCCTTGCCATGGGCAGGGACACCTTCCACTAGACCAGGTTGCTTGGGTTAAAGTCCTTGGGATAACCAGCACTTCTCTGTGCCTCACAGAGCCCCACGGATGCAGAGCACCATTTGTGTGTCCCTGCAGAAGATGCCATCTCCAGGCTGCCCATCAGGGTGATAAGGGGAGCAGGCATCAGTCCTTTGCTTCTCCAGCTGCCCTGAACATAAATTTAGGTCAGGAGCTTGAAGCTTAATGGTTCCTCTTGTTCTCAGCTGAGAAAGCATTTATCCACTCACTGCACAATTACCCGACTCAAAACAAGGTCGAAACAGCGTTGTGCTGCAAAGTGGCTTTTCAGATGATTATTAAAAAATACATGAAAAAAACCCATTATAATGAATTAGAAGGCAAAAAAAAATCCCCCATTCCCTCTAGACATTGTTTTCTGACTTTTTGCCTATAGCCTTCTTTCTGAATCTGCTTTATAGTTACCTAAACACTGTTTCCCAATTCTACAGGGTAGGGAGGCCTCCTCTTAAGGCCATGGGGCTCTTACAAATTGAGGCTGAAACCCTCAGAAGCTGAATTTGCAGCTTATGTATTCATAGAAAACATTTTGACTTTTGATCTTAGCCTCTCAGGAGGAAGCGAATCCCTTTTCTCTGTACTCACACATCCTTAAAATGTGAATAATGATATAGTAAGGATCAGTCCCAAAGGGTTTGCCGGGCACATTGAAGCATCAGGAACCGCTCCAAATGAAGCAGACAAAAATAGCACCAGCTTTTTGAAGTGCCTGTTGGTTGTGCTCCCTTTTAATCAAACACCAGCCTGGGAGACAAGGCTGCTCCAAAACGATTAATATATCAGCTCACATGCCAGGCTTTTCCCCATAACTGAGTTTTAAGGCAACCAAAATAAGATTAGCCACAGCTCCCTTCAAATACAGCCTGGAGCAAACGAGCTAATCAAGATCACACTTGAAGCATCTTTTAGTGCTGGGCTGTGCCAGCCCAGTTACTGCAAGGACACGAGGGGTTTTCTCTTCCTGCAAAGCCTCGTGCATCAGGTGTGGCTGCTTGGATTTCTCCTACCCTCTCACACTTCCAGAGTGCCCTGATGCTGCTCCAGTATCCACATACCACTTCCCTTCTTATTTTGTGTGATTTTTTTAGTGCTATTTGATCTTCCTAGATTACCCTTTTACAGTAGATCAGCCTTCATATGCTTACACAGCCTCTGGCTGAACACACCTCTCCCTGAACATGGCTTTTGGAGGAGAAATCAGCCAGCCTGAGGTGGGTAAGGATTTGCTGAGCTGTTTTTTGGATGCCCTTACCTGGGGTGGAAGGGGAAGAAGAGAGGCACTTCTTGTTGCTAGGTGAAATTGCTTTTATTTCTCCAAGCCTGTGTTTCTCCAGTGTTGATATTGGCCCGTGTGACTGTCCTGCACCTCCTTCTGCCTGTGGAGGATGGGAAGGGATGGTCCCAGGAAGGGAGCCAGGCACAAACTGCTGAGAGGATGATTTGCAGAACTGCAAGAGCCTCTGTTTGGGCCAGAAGCTCATGTTATCAGGGCAGCCCTGCTTTGCTCTCTTGAAATGCCTCCTGGAGGTCCAGCAGCCGCAAGTCCCTGCTGAGATCTGTGCTTGCTGTTCATCAGCCAATAAAAGCCATAGGAAAAGTGGCTGAAGGTCCTTTTTCCCCTCTGAAGGAGGCCAGGGCATGCTCTGGAAGGGTGCTGGAGCCCAGCTCACTGGGAACAGGTCAAGTGTGGCCACTTGGTAGTTTCTTATGTGACCCTGCTGAGAAAGGTGGTGGAGCTGGAAGGGGAACCCTGCCATCACAGACATCAGTAATTCAGCTTCATCTGAGCCAGGATTTCATCCCACTTGTTCAGTTACTGATTAAACTGAGGACAGCTGCTTAGGAAACAAGTGGGAGCTCTTGAAATGGAAGATCTCCTTAGGTCTGCCTGGCTTTCCCAGCCAGCTGGATGCAGGGTTGGACCTGGGCTGGCTCGTGAGTGGGTCCTTCACCCACAAGTGGTTCCCCAGGCTCTTCAACTGAGAATGACAACCTATTTGCAATGCCTGGTTTCACCATGCTGTCTCCTGTGGCTTTTAAATTGAACTCTGACTCTTTGCTTGCTGATAAAGGGGCCATCCCGTCTGTAGGATCTGCTTCCCCTGAGGCCAGGTAAATTATGTGGGATATCAGCCACTGAGTGGTGACTCATCTGGATGCCTAAAGCTGTCACTTGTGAATTGCCTGGTTCATGAATGGTGAACTTAGTTACCTCCTTGTGACTCTGCTCTGAGCCAATGCTGGGTGTTTGGGGACTGTCCCCCTCTCTTGTGCAATTGTTTGGGGACTGTCCCCCTCTCTTGTGCAATGATCTCTGATGGGAACATGCAGAGAAGGGCTCTGGGTAGGCCCAACACTGCTGCTCTCTGCACTAAGCATCTCCAGTGGGAGATGATGTGGATTGGAGCATCTCCCAGCTACCTCTGGAGGTGTCTGGCCTGTGTTTGGAAGGAATGAGATTTGGGGCTGGAGGCTTCTTGTGGCTTAGCCTCCCCAAACCTGCAGTGGCCATGCACGCAGAGCATGCGTGGGTTGATCTCAATGGGAACCTGCTTGGCTGGGGAGGAACCCAGGGTCAGAGGGGCAAATTGGGGGAAAAATCCCTATTTTCTGACTCCAGAATGAACACTAGGGCTGCAGTTCTTCACAGTCTTGTGGGAGGACTGGGCCCTTTGCCTCTCCTAAGCCCTCTCCCTCAGTGCTCCCTTCCTCCCTTCCCTGGTGAGATGGTGCAAGGTTGGGGTAGCGGTGCAGGGGGCAGCTAGGCTTTACCTCAGCCAAAAAATGTCTTTCCTTTCCTTTATTTCCTCTCCATCCTGGCCTGCCCACAGGCTGGCATGGCCGGGCTATTCTGCTTTCATAAGCTGCATTATGTAAGCTGCGTCTTGAGTGAGGATGCGGTGCCAACTTGGACTCCGCAGCGGGAAGGAGCCACATTCCTCGGCACTGGGTTTAATCCCTGCCTCCAGCCACAGTTGGTTTGCTAAGAGGAATCTGAGGGCTGTGCCGAGGTTTCTAATCCCTTGCTCCAGGTGGAGCCAGCTTGTTTCTGTGGGAGCCCTGCTCTCCTTTGTCAACAGGTTGTGCCCATGACTCCTCTCAGCAAGCCCTTTCCTTGGCTGTGAGGAGTGTTGGCCCAGGCATGCACACCACACCTTGGACCTTCCTCTCTTCCCCTTGTTTGCTGAACTCTCCATGTTCCATGGCTTAGTTTGCATTTTCTCAGAAAGGCTGGTGAGGAAGTGGAAACTTTTTCAACTCTAGCCCCAGAAAACAATGGCAAAGGTGGTTTGCCAAGCTGGCATGGAAACCACAGGCTGCAGAGCCTGGGTAAGACCACATTGGTGCCAACACCTTCTCCATCTGTCCCACCGCTGACTGCCCTCTCAGGGTGTCCCATCTGTAGGATGCGATTCTTGTCCCACCAAGGACCTGGGAGAGCCCTGGAGATCCTGAACCCAGGGGTCCTGTGGCACCAACCTGGCTGGGTGGAGGGTGCAGGACAGCAATGGGTACTTGGCAGGATGTTTGTTGGCTCCCCAGCAGCCTGATCCCATCCCCTGAGCTCAGGATTGATGATATTCAGGACCCCATTTGGCTGGGCATGGGCTATGCGGGGTCAGAAGGGAAAGTCCTCATCCTCCATGCGGGTTTTAGATGAAGCTGACAGCAGCAGT